AATCCGCGCAGTCAAGGCGGAGCTCATCAGCGTCTTCAAGGATATTGCACAGCTGAACCCCATGTTTAGAGATCAAATCGCCAACTTTAGTATCTCGCAGGGAGCAGGGAATGTATTCGACGAGCCAGACAAGCTCGCAGATTTTGCCGCCGCCGTCTCCAGCGGAGAGGTGGGAGAGCTTCAAGCCGTCTTGGAAGAGCTCAACATTGAGGATCGGCTTCAAAAAGCTCTTCTTGTGCTAAAGAAAGAGCTTATGAATGCGCAGCTGCAGTCCAAAATTTCGAAGGACGTCGAAGCCAAAATTCAGAAACGACAGCGGGAGTACTATCTGATGGAGCAACTCAAAGGAATCAAGAAGGAGCTGGGTCTCGAGAGTGATGGCAAGGACAGAATGGTCGAGAAGTTCAAAGAGAAGGTTGCACAGCTGAACATGCCTGAAGCTGCGCGAAAGGTGTTTGACGAAGAGCTCAGCAAGCTCCAGACGCTCGAGCCTGCGGCAAGCGAGTTTAACGTCACTCGGGGCTACCTCGACTGGCTCACCAGCATTCCGTGGGGCGTTCACTCTCCCGAGAACTACTCCATTGCTAACGCTACCAGGGTCCTCAACGACGACCACTATGGCCTTAAAGATGTCAAAGACCGCATCTTGGAATTCTTGGCTGTCGGAAAGCTCAGAGGCACTGTTGAGGGCAAGATCATCTGCTTAGTCGGACCTCCCGGCGTAGGCAAGACTTCCATCGGCAAGTCTATTGCCAGAGCGGTCGAGCGACAGTTCTTCCGCTTCAGTGTTGGCGGTCTCAGCGATGTGGCAGAAATCAAGGGTCACAGGCGGACGTATGTCGGAGCCATGCCAGGAAAAGCAATCCAAGCGCTGAAGAAGGTTGGGACTGAGAATCCTCTTGTTCTGATTGATGAGGTGGACAAGATTGGACGCGGTCACAATGGCGACCCATCGTCTGCTCTTCTCGAAATGCTCGACCCAGAGCAGAATAGTGGTTTCTTGGATCATTACCTAGACGTGCCTGTTGACTTGTCGAGGGTTCTATTTGTGTGCACTGCCAACACTCTGGACACCATCCCGCAACCGCTCCTTGACCGTATGGAGGTGATCGAGGTTTCTTCATACACTGCAGATGAAAAGCGGCACAT